CAAAATATGGTTCTTTTACTGTATCCGATGCTGTTTCGCCTCCGATTTTTGTAGCCACTAAAAGGATAGTCCGACAGAATGATCAGAAGTTTTCTGGAAAGCTTCATGTGGCTTGCTTTTGAGATTACTCTTTCTTTTTGCTTCAGGGAGATGCCGTCCGAAAGAGCATTGCAAAATTTGTTTTACAGTGAGAGGAAAATTGCTAGTATTTCTGAGCCGTTGTCCTTGTTCTTTAAAACTAAGCGAATTGACCGAAGCGCTTCTGCGAAAGCTCGATTAATAACACCAAGCATTTTCCTACAAGATGTTGCTACTTCGCGGATATGTGTTGCCCATTTCATATCGTGAGAAAGCCGCATACCTAAAAGTTTAGGATCGGTATCGAGCAAGAGCTTCGAGTTTAACAGAGTTAACTTGAAATCAGGCTTTATTTTAGGATCAAGTGAAAAATATGTGTATGAACATTTGCCCACGTTGCGTGACATATGATTTTTTTCACAGTTTTTGCAACCATACCCAAAGTGGAACTCATTTCTGCACAAATCTAAATGCCTCCGATAAATCATTTTTTTTGTTATATATGCAACAGTTTTTTATTACATAAATATAAATGTTTTATTCTAAGTTAGAACATCGCTCATGCTGTTATCGAGTCTGTTGCTTTTAAATCCTTAATCGCATTTTCTATTTTCAATATTGCATTTTCTTTGGCAGGTGAAAGACGCTTATACAATTTCAACGCTTCTTCGAAATACTCTAAAGCTTCTCCATACTGTCGTTTGCAATAATATATAGTCGCAATACTATGTATACTATCAGCTATTAGAGCATGATTGTAGGGTAATGATTGATTCCAAGCGATACGCGCCTGTTGGTAGTACGACAATGCTTCGTCAAACTGATTTATGTTGTTTAGAGCAAGACCAACGTTGATATAGCTGATACCTAACCGAATATCATCGTTACTCAGACATTCCCGGCGGATTCCTAACGCTTTGCGATGATAATCTAAGGGACTATATAAAAAGGACACCCAGAAGAATGCAGAAGTTTTTGACTCATCATCACTACATTTTTTTCCAATTCCGGATACAGATACAAAAGATTTAACTGCCTGAGGTGAATGCTTTTAAACCGTAAATCACGCTGATAAAGTTTTTTTTTGTTTATTAATTTGACGTGCAAGAAAAGATCTGCATACTTTTTGTTCGTTACTCTACGCCGCAAAGTTTTTTGAAGTTCTTCTTGCAGTAGTTTGCTTTTGACTGCCACCATACCCAAAGTGGAACTCATTTCTGCACAAATCTAAATGCCTCCGATAAATCATTTTTTTTGTTATATATGTATGCAATTGAGTGAAGTATGGTTGCACTGTCTATTCGACGCGGTGGTTCTTCACTCATCATCAATTCATATGATATCTGAAAATGTTCTAATGCCAAATCATAATCACCACGACTGTAATGTATTTCACCAAGAGTGAAATTGACGAGAGCAGCATTTTCACATTAATTATTCGATTCAAATAATTTTCAGCTATTGTA